CAGGGGCTCACTTTGTACTCACCACAGCTGTGGGGTTTGGTTGTAGTAACCATAGCATCGGGATGTCCCTGTGTGGTCTGCTGTTACATGGTTTATAGAGAATAAGGCTTGGTACTGCTTAATACTGTGTATATACTGTGAGTTCAGGGAGCTGGAGAACTTCTGATCTTCCTTGGTGAGGATGAACTTGTGATAGAACACCCATGAGACACACTGGAGAGTCATGTTCCCTCCTGAGGTCACCACAGGGCTGGGCAGGGCTGACAGACTGAGTTTACTGTCATAGATTCCTAGGACAGAAGGAACAGCCTGTTACATGTTATGAGAACAGAGCCTGAGGCTGAGACCCTCACTGTCTCCTCACCTGTCACCACCAGTTCCAGGGAGTCACTGCGCTCTGACCAGCCAGCTGAGCTGTAACAGTAACAGCGATATTGCCCCCCACTGTTCTCTGTCACAGAAGGAATGGAGAACGTGGACTTTTTCCCAGGATGTGTACCCCAGGTTTGTTGGCTTCCCTCTTTATTCAGAAAACACATTTCTGCATCCAGGGTCCCCTGACAAGAGATGTTCATGGGGCTTCCTAAGGTCACTACAGGGCCTGGGTCAGCCTTGATGGTGGGTTTGTGGAGGGTCCCTGCAAGGAAACAGGAGAGAAGGGGGTGGGTCTGTCAGAAAATGGCAGAGCATAGTCACACTTGTGGAAGGCACTCTTTTTTCTAATTTATTTTTTGTCAAACAATACACTCTGCCAGATTCCCCTCACCTCCCCTCTCCCCCAGATCCACTGCTGCTCTGTTTCCCTTTAGAACAGAGCAGGGTTCCTAGTGATATCAATGGAGCACAACAAAGCAACATGCAGTAAGACTAGGCAAACACCCTCCTATAAAGTTTGGAGAAGGCAACCAGTAGGAGGAAAGAGATCCCATGTGCAGACAAAAGAGTCAGAGACTTGCAGACTCCTATTGTTATGTCTAACAAAAATCACAAGCTACTCAGCCAGTGGTGGTGTACACCTTTAATTCAAATACTCAGGGGGCAAATGCAGGCAGATGTCTGTGAATTCAAGGCAGCCTGGTCTACACAGTGACAGCCAGGATAGACAGGGTTACACAGTGAACCACTAAAAAACAAAACTTAAAAATTCCCCAAGGTAAACCAGCACAGCATGTGTGCAGAGGGCTTAGGGAAGGCCCATGCATGCACCTTGGTGGCTGCTTCAGTCTCTGTGAGCCCTAGTGATCCCTGCTGAGTTGATCCTGTGGGCTGTGATATCCTGGTGTCCTGAGTACTCTGGCTCCTGCAACTCTCTCTCTCTCTCTTCTGTGGAATTACTGGAGCTTTGGTGGATTCTATTACACTGAACCACAGTAGCAGGGGGCTCCATGAAGATTCCTGTCTGTCTTGGA